CTCCTCCACCCCCACCTCCACTCCCACCGCCACCCCCACTCCCCCCACTGCCGCCACCTCCACCTCCACCGCCCCCGCTCGCTCCTCCAGCGCCCTTGCCCCCCTTGCCCTTGCCAGAGCGGCGTCTCCCACTAGGGGCAGACGCCACACCGACCGACTCAAGACCAAGGAGGTCGGCCGCAGCAGCAGAGGCAACAGAGGGCAGAAGGGGGGAGGGGGAACACCCCTCAAAGATGGGGGTGCGCGGGTCACCACGAGAGGCCCCTACAGCGACTATGCTCTTCTCGGCCGCTAGGAGGGACTTCTCGAGGAGGTCAACAGTGAGAGTGGTGGGACAGACAGAGAGAAAGTGGTCCCTGACTACGCGAAGGGAGTCAGGAAGGCGAGTGACTATGTAGTAAAGAGTGATGTACATGGGGGGGGGGTTCTTGGCGCAGAAGTCAGCAGGGAGTGCAGCGCGGTAGCGAGTGTCACTAGTGCGGAGGTGCGTAATGAGGTCAGCGACTGTGGGAAAGGCAGAAAGGTCAGGAAAGAGGTACGGTAGCATGAGACGGCTCAGTGCAGCAGTGGCAGGGGAGGAGTAGCGCGCAACTACAGCGTCGTACAAGGTCTGAGCACTCTTGTACTGACTAAAGTGTGCACGCTCGGAGGTAGGGAGGTGGCGACGCACAGCAAGACGTGCAGCAGCGTCGCGCGTGGCCCACTGGGAGCGAACAGTGGCGTCGGCGTCAGCAGCAGGGGCAGTGGAGGCGCCAGAGGTGAGGTCAAAGAGAGAGAGACCATCTGCCCTATCGCACTGTAAGAACAGCTGCAGGTCATCCACCCAGACCTCAAAGTCAATGGCCCGACCCTCAGCGTCAAAGACTAGAACACTAGGGGTAGCCATGACCCTAGACGACTGGCAGCGCAAACAGTAGGGTGAGGGCAGTGCAGTGAAAGGGCGCTGTGCTCACCAGACTGGACAGGTCGGGCGGCCCGGAAGGAGGGCGGCGCGGCGGCTCGGCGGCTCGGCTGCCGGGCGGCTCGGCGGCTCGGCGGCTCCGCTGCTGGGCGGCACGGCTGCTGGGCGGCTCGGCTGCTGGGCGGCTCGGCTGTTGAGCGGCTCGGCTGCTGGGCGGCTCGGCTGCTCTGCTGTCGGGCGGCTCGGTTGTGCTGCTGAGGGGCAGCACGGCTCGGGCTGCTCGGGCGGTGCGGGCGGCTCGGGCGGCTCGGGCGGCTCAGCTCCTCAGCGGCACAGGCAGCGTGGGGACCGAGACGGCGGCGCGCGGCTGGGACGGGCGGCGCACGGGCGGCGTGGGGCCGGGACTGCGGTGCGCGGCCGGGACGGGCGGCTCACGGGCGGCGTGGGGCCGGGACGGGCGGCGCGCGGGCGTCGAGGGGCCGGGACGGGCGGCGCGCGGGCGTCGAGGGGCCGGGACGGGCGGCGCGTGGGCGTCTAGGGGTCGGGCCGGGTGGCGCGCGGGCGTCTAGGGGCCGGGACGGGCGGCGCGTGGGCGTCGAGGGGCCGGGACGGGCGGCGCGCGGGCGTCTAGGGGCCGGGACGGGCGGCGCGCGGGCGTCTAGGGGCCGGGACGGGCGGCTCACGGGCGGCGAGGGGCCGGGACGGGCGGCGCGCGGGCGTCGAGGGGCCGGGACGGGCGGCGCGCGGGCGTCGAGGGGCCGGGACGGGCGGCGCGCGGGCGTCTAGGGGCCGGGACGGGCGGCGCGCGGGCGTCTAGGGGCCGGGACGGGCGGCGCGCGGGCGTCTAGGGGCCGGGACGGGCGGCGCGCGGGCGTCTAGGGGCCGGGACGGGCGGCGCGCGGGCGTCTAGGGGCCGGGACGGGCGGCGCGCGGGCGTCTAGGGGCCGGGCCGGGTGGCGCACGGGCGTCTAGGGGCCGGGACGGGCGGCGCGCGGGCGTCTAAGGGGCCGGGACGGGCGGCGCGCGGGCGTCTAAGGGCCGTGACGGGCGGCTAAAGGGGCCACTAGGGGCCAAGAGAGAGGGGAGCGCGACTCGGGTAGGGGCAGAGTGCGCTCCGGGCAGGAAAAAAAACGGTGGGCCCTAGGAACAGTTCCCACGAGGGAACCTGCTCTGATACCATGAGAAGAATGAAGAACGAGGATGAATGAACTATGAATGAGGTGAGTACATATGGAAAACCCTAATTGGGTTGTACCCCCTATGGGATACCCCACTATAGCCTACACAACAGCATAAGCTATATAATGTTCTGACAGTGAGTGGCACGACACACTGAGGACTACACTTGCGGCTCTTGGGTTTGCTCCGTCGACTGCTGACCCGTCGCTGTTTCTGCGCACCGACATGTCGCTGCCGCCGTTCTACATCCTCATGTACGTCGACGACTTGGTCTTTGCCACTGCTGACACTGAGGCTCTCGCCCTGGTGAAGTCGGAGCTGCAGAAGAGACACACGTGCACAGACCTGGGTGAACTGCGCAGCTACCTTGGCTTGCAGATCACCCGGGACAGAGCACGCCGCACCATCACACTGACTCAGTCACACATGGTGCAGCAGGTCCTTCAGCGCTTCGGCTTCACCTGGTCCTCGCCACAGCACACTCCTCTGGCTACAGGCCACTCGCTCTCAGCTCCACCTTCGGACGAGTCCGTAGAGCCGAGTGGCCCGTACCCAGAGCTTGTGGGCTGCCTCATGTACCTGATGACCTGCACTCGACCTGACCTTGCGTACCCTCTTGGCCTTCTGGCTCGCTACGTGGTTCCTGGTCAGCACTGAAAGGTGCACATGGATGCTGCGAAGAGGGTACTGCGCTACTTGTGCGGTACATTGGGCATGGGGCTCGTGCTTGGAGGGCGGAGCGCAGTTGTCCTCACTGGGCACTCAGACGCTTCTTGGGTTGACGACCATGCTACGCAGCGGTCGTTTCAGGGTTACACCTTCAGCCTTGGCTCTGGTTCAGTTTCTTGGCGTTCTACACGCTCGTTTTCTGTTCTCAGCTCCAGTTGTGAGGCTGAGATCTACGCCACAGCCATGGCTGCACAGGAGTTACGCTGGCTCACCTACCTGCTGACCGACTTGGGAGAGCGGCCTCATTCTCCTCCAGTGCTGTACGTCGACAACAAGGCCGCCATTGCCTTGTGTCGGGAGCACATACTGGAGCACAGAACGAAGCACATCGCTCTGCGTTACTTCCTGGCTCGAGAGTTCGTCTTGCTCACGTGGCCACTCGGGCCAACACTGCTGATATATTCACCAAGGCACTTCCGTCTGGTGATCATCAGCGTCTCTGCACTTTGTTAGGCCTTGTGCCTACTCTGCCTCACTTGCGGTAGACTTTGCTTGTACTGTGATCTATATGTATATATACCTGCATGCCTGTTCTGCTAGGTAGAGATCACTGTGCTGTTGTTGTTGCATATATACCTCTGCATGTGAACTGGCCTTGTGGCCCTTTGCTTGTGCTCAGTGTGTGTGGTGACGTTGTGATCCACCCTGAGCTTGCTTTGCTTCTCTTGACTGGTCTTGTGACCCCTTGCTCTCCCCCACTTTGCCTATGGGGGTGTGTCAAAGTATGTATATGCTATATATGTTTAGGCTGTAGTGGGGTAGCCAATATGGGGTACAGCCCCTTTTAGGGTTTCATACTTGTACCCAACTCTTTCATAGTTCATTCATTCCTGCTGCTCGTTTCTAACAGTTGTTGCAGGTGACGGCGCGGGTGGAGGAGTCGTCAGCGCGCGTGGCGGAGAGCCGGCGCAGCATAGTGGCGACGGAGCAGCTGGGCGTGGCCATCCTGGCCGACCTGCACCAGCAGCGCCAGTCCCTGCTGCGCACCGGCGATACGGTGAGGGCAGAGGGGGAGAGGTGTAGTGGAGAGGATAGATTCTGCTGAATGAAAAGGAGAGTTGAAGAGCCCCTGCATTGTGCATCATGTTGGCATGGTGTGAGTGAATGCCTCACTGCACACACCACGGTGGCGGCCTCAAGAGCATTCCTCTGCAATTCCCTTCTCTGTGCCATGCGCAGCTGGAGGACGTGGACCACTACATGAGTCGCGCGAGGCGGGTGCTGGGCGGCATGGCTGTGAAGCTGCACCGCAACAAGTGGATCACCGCGCTCATCCTCGCCCTCCTCATGCTCGCCATCGCTGCCGTCATCTACCTCCGCCTGTGCCACTAGCCATACCAGCCGTGCCCCCCATTGTACAGCTCTGATCGTGTTATGTTTTATCTGTATGTGTGGACTCAATGCAAGACAAAGGAACCAGGCCCTCAGATTTGTTTTTGGCCTGTCTGATTCGTCAGACTAGTACACAGTTTTAGTCTGAAAATCTCAGACTTGGTATAGAAAAAAGGCTGAAATTTCAGAGTGTCTTAAAACAAAAGTCTGATCATTCAAAAGCAATGTATTCTATGTTTCATTGGAAGTGTATTCAATGTTTCATTCATCTGCTATCGAAACATGCTCTGACAGGGCGAATATATGTGTCAGGGCGAATCTGCAATGTCAGGGCGATTTTGTTGTGATTGGGCGAAGATTGTTGTACTCTGACAGCGCAAATCTGTTGTGTCAGGGAAGATTTTCCTATGATTGGAAGAAAATCTAGTGCTGTAAGACTCGGATTTTTCTGTGTCAGTACGAACCTGCTGTGACCCGTAAGTCCGAATCACCCGTCAAGGACGCGTTTGTACTCCGAATTATCAGAGTACACTATCAGAAAACTCTGAACTCTCAGAGTTAGCATTAAAAAAAGTCTGAAAATTACAGAGTTGAGGCCCAGAAAAGTCTGATTTTATCAGAGTACACAGGAAAAAAAAATATGAAATATCAGAGAAAAAAGTCCAAATCAGAGAAAAAAGTCTGACTTCTGAGGGCCTGAAAGGAACCCATTGTGTTGCTTATTGCGTGTAGTGCATCCGGTTAATGTCTCTCGTGAAGCTTTGGGCACAGATGCACAGCAGGCGGTGAAAGGCCATGCGGCACCAATGAGCTTATGACAACCCAAATGCCTCATCACATGCAAGTAGGCCATGCCAATTCAGTTACATGGTATCTTCCGCAGGCTCCTTGCTCTTCTCTCCCTCCCCATTCTCCACACCTTCTGTCTTAGCCACCCGTCGCCCCTCCTGCCATCGTCGTCCCCCTGCCACGGCAGAATGCAGAAGGGCCAGCACTCGAGGGGCGTGGAGCGGCGGCAGGGCAGGGCGCGGCACTTGAGGGCGCGCGGGGTGACCCACGTGAGGCCTTGGTCCAGCACGGGCTTGACCCAGGAGCGGCAGGGGTGCTGCGCGAGGTCGATGGCCGTCGCCGTGAAGTGGTTCAGGTGCAGCACGTCCCGCGGCGCCGTTGCCACCGACTCCGGGGGCGCCGTGGTGGTGTGGATCGCCACCGAGCTGATGGCGGGGAAAATGTGGAGGGACAAGGAATGAGAGAAGAGTGATGAAAGGGTGAGGAGGGAACGTGCAGTGAAGAGTGGTGGGTCAGGCTGGCACCTTGTTTGGGTGTGCATGCTGGTTAAGATGATCACCGGAAGATGAGTGAAATGGTCAAGATGAGTGAAATGAATACCGATTTGCACTGGTATAAGGTTGAGGGCAGAGAGAAGTCGTGGGAAGGGCAGAGTTCACTGCAGCAATACTCATAGGGCAGCACTTCACTCAGGCAACACTCAACTCGGGCGGCACTCACTAGGGCGGCACTCACTAGGGCGACACTCACTAGGGCGGCACTCACTAGGGCGACACTCACTAGGGCAACACTCACTGGGGCGGCACTCACTAGGGCGGCACTCACTAGGGCGGCACTCACTAGGGCGGCACTCACTAGGGCGGCACTCACTAGGGCGGCACTCACTAGGGCGGCACTCACTAGGGCAGGATGGTTTGCGGGTTGACAGCGAGCTTGTCATGCCAGCCCGCCCACCCCTCCGTGTGCCACATGGGCTGAGCGCAGCGCCACGTCAGGCGGTCCAACACCGGCTCGCACCGCGACTCCGCCTCCACCCCCCAGAAGTTGAAGCGCCGCAGCTGAATCACCTGCAGGCGCATGCAGGGTTGGGGCGGGAGGAGATGAGTGGGGCATTTGAGGCATTCGCGTGCAACACGGCACAGTCGTCGAAGGCAAGAGCACATGGACAAGGGGGTTTCATTTGAGTGGAGAGCGGAAGGCATCCTCCAGCCCAGGCCGTGCCACACAGCTGCGCTCACCCGCAGGGGCTCCTTGCTGCTTCGGGGTCGAGAGCGCGAGTGGTTGAGCTCAAGGCGGGCGAGCAGCGGCTTGAGGAAGCCCCCCGTGCGCGGCTCGTACCACACGAACTCGTCGCTGTCTATGTGCAGCTGCCACCGGTCTCCCCTCCGCCGCCCCTGCATGAGGCAGTGCTCGTACGATATAATCTGATCGTAGATCTCCGGGAACTGGCGACACAGGGGGAGGTGGGGCGAGAGGGAGAGGAGTGTGGCATCGGGAAAAGGGTGAGCGTCAGGGGTTGTAAGAGAGAGAGGGGCATGAGAGAGAGGGGGGCATGAGAGAGAGGGGGGCATGAGAGAGAGGGGGGCATGAGAGAAAGGGGCATGAGAGAGAGAGAGGGGCATGGGGGGGGACAGAGGGGCATGGTCGAGAGGGGCATTGCTAAGCAAGGGACATGGGAGAGAATTGAAGTTTGGCATTGGTACTACCAGCTGGTGCGAGAGTGGCACTCACCAGGTACGGCACTCACCAGGTACGGCACTCACCAGGTACGGCACTCACCAGGTACGGCACTCACCAGGTACGGCACGCGGGCCTTGCCAGCGTAGAGGGCGTGGCGGAAGAAGACCTCGCTCCAGGGAGGGAAGGGCACGTGCTGCACCTGCCCGCGCTCCATGTAGGGCGCGAGCAGGGCGGTGATGGCGGTGGCGTGGCGGTCGTACACGTACACGCGCTCCACGCCCATCAGCAGCGCCGCGTCGATCCACTCCAGCAGGCGCGCGTGGGAGAAGGCCACGTCCAGCGAGAAGAGCTGCCGCGTGTGGAACGGGCGCAGGCAGATCGCCACCGCCCCCATCGCCCTCCTCCTGCCGCCCCCACTGTTGCTGCTGCTGTGTGCAGTGGTGCTGCCCCCCTGCTCCTGCGTGGCGGCGTCCTCCCCATACTCCACCAGCATCTCCTCCGCACTGCCCCCCTCCGCCCCCGCGCCCTCCCCTTTCCCCGCTCCTTTCATCCTCGCTTTGCCCCCCACTCCTCCCGCATCCCCCCCCATCAGTCTCGCCAGTTCCGAGCCTCCTCCTGAGCCTGCATTAGCGGCGGCAGCCACCTCCCTCTCCACGGCAGCGAAGGGGAACGGTGGGGCGCGGCTGCCGGGGTCGATGAGGCCCTCACTGCCGTCGCCACCGCCGTCGCCATCACCATCAGCACGGCAGAGCAGCAGTGGCGGCATGCGCAGGTCGGAGCCGTTGCGGGCCGCCACCAGCTGCACCTGCAGGCGCTGCCCGTACTCCACGTAGTGCCGCCGCGCCTCCCGCCGACTCACCCTCACGCGCACCGGCACTGCCGCGTCTTCCGAGGGGTCCGCAGAAGTGTCCGCAGGAGGCGAGGAGGAGGAGGGGGAAGGCGGGGGGGCGAAGGGCGGGAGGGGGCATTCGAGGGCGATGTGCCAGGGGTGGCGGTGGCGCACCACGGCGTCCACCACCACGGCGGGCGCCACACTGTGCAGGGCGGGGTCGTGGCCCGGCCACACCAGGCACTTCACGGCCAGCGCGCCCCGCCAGTACACGTCGCTCAGCTCCGCCGCGCCCCACCCATCCCACTGCGTCTTGCGGATCGACTCCTCGTCCTCCAGGAACGCCAGCAGCCGCACCCACGTCGTCATCGCCGCCGCCCCTCCCTGCCCCTGCCGCCCCGCCTTCCCGCCGCCTCCGCGCGCGCCCCCCGCGCCGTCCGCCGCCTCGTGCAGCGCCTCCGCCTCGAACACCGTCAGCTGCGCGAACCGGCTGCCGAAGCTCGCCCCGTCGCGCGCCTCCTCGGGGCTCACGAACGTGCCCTGCGCGAACGGAGCGGCGGCGCTGCCCATGCAGAGGCGCACCTTGGCGCCGCGCGCGGACAGCGGGCGCACCAACGGCGGCAGCTTGACCTCGCCGCGGCCGCACACCGGGCAGCCTCGTAGCGCTTCATGCGAGCGGCGGTGTGGGACGGCGCCCCCATTGGAGTCACGGGCGTCGGGCAGGGGGGGCGCGTCGGGCTGGAAGGCGATCCACACGACGAGAAAGAGGGCGGCGGCGACGGTGAGCGCGGCGTAGTGGCAGAGCGCGCGCGCCTTGGGGGACACGGCGCGCGCGGGGAAGCGGAAGGGCAGACGGCGGGATTTGCTGTGCGGCTGCGACGATGACAGGGAGCGCGTGGGATGAGCGGAAGCCAGCGGCTTATCTGCGGCGGGATGGTGGGGCGCGCGCGGGGCGAGAGGGATCTGCGGCGGTACCGGGCGCAAGGAGGCGAGCGGAGGAGAAGGAGTGGCGGAAGAGGAGAGATCGAAGGGAGACGCTGCGGCGACAGCAGGCGCGCTGCCAGGCGCCCGACGACCAGGTTTGCCCGTCGCTGCCGCTGATTGCCACCTGCTGACGTCGCTCATCACCACCAAGGGCGGCTGGTCATGGAAATGGCGGTATGATCACATCTGCGGAAATCGTCATCGCAGTGTTTGTTATGAGAACGGAATAACAAATAACGAAACGCGTACAATAACCTTTTGCTAGCGGTGATTGTTTCCTGCAGCGGCACAGCAGCAGACTTCTCCGCCGCTCTCCCTCCTCCTCTGGTTTCTCCCCTCATCGGCGCAGCAGCAGACTACTCCGCCATTTTCCCTCCTCCTCTGGTTTCTCCCCTCATCGGCGCAGCAGCAGACTACTTCACCATTTTCCCTCCTCCTCTGGTTTCTCCCCGCATCGGCTCAGCAGCAGACTACTCCGTCACTTTCCCTCCTCCTCTTGTTTCTCCCCTCATCGGCGCAGCAGCAGACTACTTCACCATTTTCCCTCCTCTGGTTTCTCCCCGCATCGGCTCAGCAGCAGACTACTCCGTCACTTTCCCTCCTCTTGTTTCTCCCCTCAGCGGCTCAGCAGCAGACTACAAATATAAATTAGTATAGGCGCGATACAATGTATGATACAAGTATGTGCTACAACGGCGATCACCTCTTACTTGTTGGGCTGAGAAAAGCCCTTAGGATCGTTTTCAAGACTAAAGGCTCAGAGTAGTGATATATTAGCGGAAGCGTATTTAGTGAACTAATTGAACCACCTTGCACTGGTGTATGTGAGAATAAGATAAGTTGATGATAACAAAGAGATACAAGCTCTTATATGATTACAAGGAATACAAAAGGTTTAACTAGCTGTAACTGCTGTTGCAGTTCGATACAGCGACGACTCGGGTCGGGTAACTGCTCAATATCGAGTCGGTTATGTGTCATTGCTGTCGCTCTGCCTTCGGTGAGTCAAAGGTCGCTGACCTTTGACCTTCACCCAACCTCTTGCTGTTGTCTCTTTGTCAACCGCTTTGGTTGACTCGCTGTAGCTTTGCTTTAGTTCGCTTCGCTTTCGAAGTAGTGCTCGACACATCAGAAGTGCGAACTATCGTCATCAGTAGTTCGATACAGCGACGACTCGGGTCGGGTAACTGCTCAATATCGAGTCGGTTATGTGTCATTGCTGTCGCTCTGCCTTCGGTGAGTCAAAGGTCGCTGACCTTTGACCTTCACCCAACCTCTTGCTGTTGTCTCTTTGTCAACCGCTTTGGTTGACTCGCTGTAGCTTTGCTTTAGTTCGCTTCGCTTTCGAAGTAGTGCTCGACACATCAGAAGTGCGAACTACATCGAGTCGGTTATGTGTCATTGCTGTCGCTCTGCCTTCGGTGAGTCAAAGGTCGCTGACCTTTGACCTTCACCCAACCTCTTGCTGTTGTCTCTTTGTCAACCGCTTTGGTTGACTCGCTGTAGCTTTGCTTTAGTTCGCTTCGCTTTCGAAGTAGTGCTCGACACATCAGAAGTGCGAACTACCGTCATCACCCGGATATAAGACAGTGTTGAATACAAGACAGAGGGTGTCTATTATCCGGGTGTCTCTCATAAACGGGGTAGCCTCATTATAAGACACCTATTTGTGTGTACAAGTTAAGCCAGTGTAGGGGTTAGGGGCAATTGTATAACGAGGGGGTATCTTCTAAACGGTTTCTTGTCCATTTATAAGACTTATAAGACACCCTAAACCGTCCCAAATACAAGACAACCCATGCATTTTTTCTAGTGTATGAGATAAGACATATATGTCTTATATCCGGACGATGACGGTATATGTTTCAAACACTCCCCTTCGCTTCTCGAGTGTCGTCGCCTTCGTTGCTGGTGACGTGGCCTTGTCCAGTCAGCAGCATGCAGTACTCGAACTTCTGCTTTCCGAGTTTCTTGGTCAAGTAGATGCTGCCATCTCGGATGTGGGGCAGTAGGATAGCTCGCGAACCCGTTCTTATTCGCTATGCGAATTGCAGATTGGTTGTCGTAGAAGAGGGAGAAGCTGGTAACTGGGCCAGCTTTGCTTCTTCCAGTAGTTCGCGAACGTACAGTCCTTCCTTGGTGGCTGAGCAGAGTGCTATGTATTCGGCTTCAGCAGAGGAGAGAGCAATTAGTTCTTGCTTGCTCGACTGACACGAGATAGGACCGATGGGCTCGAGTCGGTAGATGTAGCCGGTGTGCGATCGCCTGTTGTCGGAGTCGCCAGCGTGATCAACATCCACGTAGCCGGTTAGTTTAGGTGTCGTGGTTCCGGTTTTGTGGTAGGTTAAAACGACTGGTGTGCTGACTGTAAAATAACGAGGAATGAATTGACTAAGGGAAAGTTGGGTACAAAAGCAAACCCTAGAAAACTGTACCCCATATGTGCTACCCCAATATAGCCTACAGTAGCTATGTCATATAAATCTGACACACCCCCATAGGCAAAGTGGGGGAGAACAAGGGGTCACAAGACCAGTCAAGCAAAGCAAAGCAAGCTCAGGGTGGATCACAAAGTCACCACACATTTCGAGCACAAGTTCAAGGCCACAAGGCCAGTTCACATGCAGGATTGCATATATATATAAGGCTAGACAAGCAAGAGCAGGTGTATATATATATGCAACAGTACAAACAAGGTCAAGGGGTGAGCAAGTGAGGCAAGGTAGGCACAAGACCCAGCTGAGTACAGAAGCGCTGATGATCACAAGGTGGGAGTGCCTTGGTGAAGATATCAGCAGTGTTGGCCTCAGAGGCCACGTACGCAAGCCGCAGCTGACCACGCTGCTGTAGCTCACGAGCAAGGAAGTAGCGGAGAGCAATGTGCTTCGTTCTGTGCTCCAGTCTCTGCTCTCGACACAAGGCCAGCATGGCCTTGTTGTCTACGTACAGCACTGGAGGAGAACGAGGCGGCTCTCCGAGGTCAGTCAGCAGGTAGGTGAGCCAGCGAAGCTCCTGTGCAGCCATGGCACCGGCGTAGATCTCAGCCTCACAACTGGAGCCGAGAACAGAAGACGAGCGGGTAGCCCGCCACGAAACAGAGCCGGAACCAAGGCTGAAGGTGTAACCCTGTGACGACCGCTGCGTAGCCTGGTCGTCAGCCCAAGAAGCGTCTGCGTGCCCAGTGAGGACCACTGGACTCTGCCCTCCAAGCACAAGCCCCATGCCCGACGTACTGCACAAGTAGCGCAACACCCTCTTCGCTGCAGCCATGTGCTCCGGTCTGTGTCTCCCAGGAGCAACATAGCGTGCAAGAATGCTAAGAGGGTATGCAAGGTCAGGTCGTGTGCAGGTCATCAGGTACATGAGGCAGCCAACAAGCTCTGGGTACGGGCCACTCGACTCTACGGACTCATCCGAAGGCAGAGCTGAGAGCGAGTGGCGAGTAGGCAGAGGAGTGGCCTGAGGCGAGGAGTACGTGAAGCCGAAGCGCTGAAGGACCTGCTGCACCATGTGTGACTGAGTCAGGGTAATGGTGCGGCGTGCTCTGTCCCGGGTGATCTGCAAGCCAAGGTAGCTGCGCAGTTCACCCAGGTCTGTGCACGTGTGTCTCTTCTGCAGCTCGGACTTCACGTGGGCGAGTCCAGCAGTGTCAGCTGTGGCGAAGACCAAGTCGTCGACGTACACGAGGATGTAGAACGGCGGCAAAGAAGTGTCGGTGCGCAGAAACAGCGACGGGTCGGCAGTAGAGGGAGCAAACCCAAGAGCCGCAAGCGTAGTCCTCAGTGTGTCGTGCCACTCACGCGGTGCCTGGCGGAGACCGTAGACTGGCCGCCGGAGGCTCCACTAGGTGCCAGGAGGAAAGGACCCAGTGAAGCCAGGTGGGCGACGCAGCCAGATCTCCTCGTGCAGGCTGCCCTGCAAGAAAGCAGTGCTGAAGTCAAGAGAGTGCAGCTCGTAGTCGCGGTGAGCAGCTATGTGCAGCAGTACCCGAAGAGTGGTCATCTTCGGGGTGGGAGAGAAGGTCTGAAAGTAGTCAACTCCCTGCCGCTGACTGAAGCCACGAGCCACGTAACGCGCCTTGAAGACAGGCGGAGAACCCGGCGGCCGCTTCACCCTGAAAATCCACATGCCACTGACGATGTTCGCCCCAGGCGGGGGAACCTCGTCAACGTAGGTGCCTGTGGACTTCCAGGAAGCCATCTCTGCGTCCATAGCTGCCTGCCACTGAGAGGAGTAGGGACCCTCTATCGCCTCCGCATAAGAGCGCGGAGTCGGGATGTCAAGTGCATCCGGGTCTCCCTCAGAAGTAAGCAGTACGGACACGAGATGAGGTGAAGCAGCAGCCAAACACTGGAACTCCTCCTGCCTGTCCTCAAGGACGTCCGTGCCAAGGGCACACTCACCCCCGACGGACGGAGGACAGACAGACTCAGACTCAGCAACAAGACTAGCAGCGTAGTCTAGACGACAGCGAGCAGCAAAGTCGACGAGCTCAGTAACTAGTGCAGATGCAGCAGTGGACTCAAAGGAAGGGTCAGTGACAACAGTAGCAAGGAGACGCGTGACAGTAGGACTGGCAGCACGAAGAGAGTCCGACTCCGGGTCAGGAAGAGCAGGAAGAGAGGACTCAGGAGGAGAAGGCAAAGGGGCACGCAGAGGAGCAGTGGACGGACGCAGAGACATCCGGTGCGTGCAGGGACAGGAGGAGGACGCTGACGCGAACCACGACCACTAGTGCGAGCAGCACGGACAGGCGACGCAGGGCGAGACGCAGGCTCACGACGCTCAGCAAGACCTCCAGTAGGACCAGTGTAGGGAGAAGGAGCGGGCAGTGGGGAGGCCGGCTGTAACTGTAACTGTGACGGGACAGGCTGTGGACACTCTAAGGGAGGAGGAGGACCAGTAGAAGGCGGGAGACCAAGAACCTGCTGAAGGAGCGGAACGAAGTACGGCCGAGGCCGCGCGGCGACTCCAGACACAGCAGGGACAGCACCAGTACCCCCAGCGGCAGCACCAGCGCCAGCAGCACCTCCAGCTCCAGTACCTCCAGCAGCACCAGTAGCACCCCCAGCAGAACCGCCTCCAGGACCGACAGCAGTAGCCTCAGCACCAACACCCTCAGCAGCTCCAGCTCCAGTCGT